CCTATTGACCCCTTTTTATTTTATTACATACCCTGTTTAAGGCACCCATTCCCATTATATATTGGTTGGTGGAATATAGGGGATAGTATGCTGTCTTAAAAAGTAGAAATAGAGATCCTATTTGCATAACATAGTGAGCATTTGCTTGGCGTAATACTGGTGTTTAATTATGCTTATGGCATACTGGCCAAAATTTATTACTATATCCTTATTGTTAATACAGTATGTGTAGTATGTATGTGATTAAGGCTGGTGAAATAATATGTAGCTTCTCAATATTTCTAAAATGTTTTGTGTGAAAATATGATTGATTAGAACTGTGGTGGTTAGTAGAGGTCTAGATAGGAAGATACGGTAGGTAGGTAGGTAGGTAGGTAGATAGACTGGTCTAGTGATAACTCTGGTATAGGAAAAATTGCAACTTGTGTTACAAAAGGAATAAATGGTAAATGTTGGGGTTAATTAAAAAAAATAAATATATGAAACTGAAAGAAAGGACGTAATAGAACTGAATGAAGATGACCTATTTTGAGTAGAGTCAAAATATGTAGAGAAAAGGCCCTGCTCATTCATTGTATTGGCTTGAAAGACAAGATGTTTGTTGGGTTCCAGAACCACATCTTATTTGCGTGTTTCCAGCGCTTTCAGTTACATTGTCAGGTCGACAATATCAATTCCCAGAAGCAACGCTAAAGAATGTGGTGCGTAAATTCAATAATAAATAAGCAATCGTTGGAATTTGGCAGTCCATACAAACAATATGGACTTTGGCTTGGGAACTATATAAGATACCCACTTTAGGCTTTGGAACCTCGAGGAAGAAACCAAACTACAGGCTTGGGATCCTGAACCAAGAAACCCACCCGTGGCTGGTATTGCATGGCTATCAGGCATGCCCCCTATGGCGAAGGGGTTGCTGGGTCAAGTGCCTGAACTGGTAGTGACAATGTCACCATGGACCAACGTAATATAATAGTAGTAATGATGTCTATATAAAACAAACAAGACGAAACAATAATAGAATGCATGTGACACTGCCATAGCAATGTCCTCAACTTTGTCCCTATTTTTAGGGCTTTATATGTCAGCAATGAAACACCAACTCTACTTTTTTAGGGGGTTTGAAACATGCTCTTTCTAATGAGAATGATTTAATAAGAGTTTCCAGAAGGTCTTTTTTGTAAAAGTGGGCTGAAAATACCCAATTTTTGGCGTTCATACAAAAACTGTCACCTTTACACTCAATTTCTGAACTATTGGAAAACAGTAGGAGAATGAAATTTTATATTCAACAACCTTGTGTTGCTAGGTTACTACACACAAAGTTTCACGTTTCTCATACCTTTCCTTCCAGAGATATAAGAAGCCAAACTTTACCATTTTTTCGCGCTGCAGTCATTTTCAGCCAACTTTGCTCCAAATTATTTGAAATCGCTCATGAGAATGTTTTTATTATTTTGTTTAATAGAGCACAACAAGTTGTACAAGAAGGCCAAGTTTTGTTTCTCTCAACAAAATATTGCTGGAGATATTATGTCTCAAAGTTGCTGAAACCTCAGAGTCATACTGTAGAAGGCTGCGATATGGAGTCAAACAGATGACTGTATCTCCACAAGTATTGCATTGGCAAACTTTACCAGTGTTCACTGGAGACGTGTGTGCATGTTCACATCAAATTTCATCGAAATCTGTGATAGTTGAGCACTGAGCCCCAGGCCACTTGACATGGAATGACCCAGTAAAAAAACGTTCAAAGTCAGTGCTAGCTTTAGCTATGCTAAAGATTGCTAGGTCTATAAAGGAGGCAGATAAGTAGTGAAAAGGAGGCTGCAGAGGAAGTGACACTGTTTCAGGCACTGGGGTTGTCCAAAGGTCGAGCAGAACTGGCAGAAAAAGAAGCTAGGCAAGTTGTGCAATTTTGGGTTTGCTTGCCATTCCACAAGGCAGGGTGGCTGGGCCCAAAAAGATATAGACAGAAGGGATCGCAGTGAGGAGTTGCAATCCTCTCTGAAGTTGTAAGTGTGGGCAATCTGCCAAGCACCAAATATTGGTCATGTGACCATGGGATGCTACAAGAGCCATAATATCGGGGATGGGTCGTAAGTTCCTTCGTTCAGTGCTATTGTAATTTTGAACAACTGCTGAACAAGTGGCCATTAAGTTGATGAATGCCTGGATTTATATTTCATGTCTAAACTAACAACTTTATTTCCTTATGTTTTCTTCAACTTGACAAAATCAGACTATTTTTGAGTGCCTATATATGCAGTTTTTATTAAATGTTCAATTACAATTTGGGTCTACTTTGGATAAAGATGAGCAATGATTTTTATTTTTAAAAAGTTCTAGGCCAAATAGCTGGATTCAAAAATGAGTTTTCTAAAATTGATTTACTTATTTCAAATTTTTCTAGTAAATATTTTAGGTAAGAGCATCCCAAAAGATTGAATTGTAGAAATATGGTATGTATTTCTCATAAAAGGGAAATCAGGGAGTACTTTTCTGAATGTGCGTTTTCAAGCTGTTTCTTTTTATTTTGGAATATTTAACTAAATATTGAAAATGTCCAAAATTCATATATGTGTGTGTATGTGTAAGCATGGATTCTAGAAAATAAATGGAACTATTAATGGTACTTATTAGTATCGGTATTTCTAAAAGAAAAATCTAAGGTCCCCCCAAGTTCAGGTTTGTTACATGTATTTGATGGAATAAGACAATTATTAAACAAGAAATTTATTATATTTTTATATTGTCCGCTGAATAAATCACTGTTCAACACTAAGGATATTTGGACTAGCTTCCAGGTCAAATATAGTTTGAAAAAAAATGGGTGAATGCTATGCTTAAAAAGTTTTCTTAAAAATAAATATGCTAGACAAAGAGAATGAAGAAATATTTTTATGCAGGGTGCTTTTTATTTTCTTATGCTAATAATTAGCATAACTAATCAGGATTTGTGGAAAATATAGATTTGTGAGTGACTGGTGACCTTGTGAAGATGCTCATCTCCCACTCAAAAGGTTGAGTTCGATCCTAGGTAGAGGCAGATGTTTGTCTCCTAAGGCGCAAAGAAAAAATATCTGCTGCAAACTCTGCATTGGCATCAGGAAGGGCATCTGGCCAGTAAACATTCAGCTCCATCCGGTCACCCCAACTCTACCCCGAATTAAGGAGTTACAGGGTCGTAAAAATGAGATTTCTTTAAATTCTAGATTTGTAAGTAAATGTGTACAAAATTTGTTGGATGTATTTCAATGAAATAAAATTAAGTCTATAATCTACATATAAAAACATTTATGGGGGAGGGTATACCAACTGAGGATATTATTGTACTCTTGTGGCCCTGGGGTGAAAAACAAGAAAGGGGCATCTGGACCTAAGTTTTTATTGTTTCCTTTGGACAGACACTTCGAAATGTTTCAAATGGAACACTACTACTATTCTGATGGAACACTACTTTGAAAGCTTTTATTAGAACATTTTGGGATGTTTAGTCCCAAGGTACGAAGCACATTTTCTATTTTGTACACACCTTTTACCGAACAATGTTGTTGAGGATATATGTTATGATTTTATTTTGTTTTCTAAAAGTATTGGTGCATAGCATCTTTGCTTTGAATGATTCAAATATATCTGCTCTTTCATTCTACTTCAGGATCCTCTAAGGATGAAAAAGGTCATTCCAACAAGGTCATTTCATGGTGTTTAAAGCGGACAGTAACTTTGAAAGTTTTATTTATTTGTTGACTTACGTTGCTTCATTTTAAAAGGAAATTCCTATCATATTCTTCATTATAAATTAATTGTGTGGACTTATGGAATAATGCAAGAACAATAAAACGAATTTGATCATCAATTTCCAATATATATTAAAATCATGTGAATTATTTTAGAATTGCAGAATTGCATTCTATTGATTTTGGTTTTTATTTTCTTGTGTGTCTTTAAAGTTGCAAACTTAATGTGGAGTCTGTGTAAGAATTCATTAAACTTCTTCCATTTTAAGATTAAAATTGTGAAAATACTATTTTGTTTATGATAAATAAGTAGTAATAGATGCTTTGTATAACCCAGTATGTTTTAAGGCTTATTTAATACCATGAATGCATCCTCTGGCAGTGCCCTTTTGACTGAGAATTTAATGGGAGTCACGAGAGAGTAGGAGCTGCTCGATGTTCAACTAATCACAGCCAATTTTCTATCACTAGAATTTTGTCTCTTGATTACAGCTTCATTAACAGGGTAACTTTTAAATTAAAAGATACTGAAACTTTAAGAAGTTTGAAAAGCCCTAGGTTTGGAAGGTATGTCTCTCTGGTTTGTTGATGTGATATGCATCCAAAAGTTAACCTGCAGAATAAACATAAAAGGTTATTGTATGACTTTTATATTTCGGTGCTAATAGAGAAGTTTTATGCAGCAGATTATGCAAATCAAGAAAAAAAATAGCAATCCACAGAAGGGCTTCTGAAGAGGCTTGTTATCTTTGATGAAGAAAAATATTTATCAGCAGATTACATTTAGAGAGAAAGTCTAATTACCTAATCTGAGAAAAAAGAAAAACCATATCATAGGTTCACTGTCCCTGAATGACGGTGGTCCATTTTCTTTAGAGCGTTCCTAAATTCTCGATTTCTGTAAAGCAGGGGGACATTTGCCAGCTTCAGCTAATGTGACAATTACCCCCTTATTTGGATCATCAGTCCCCACTCAATTCTAATGTGTTGCCTTTGGAAATAACATGGAAGCTACAGCTGGTACAGAATGTGGTGACTAGATTATTGGCAGCAGTATCTCACTAACATAATATCACATCAGTTGTTAAGTTGCTGCATAAATTACAGATACGCTTCCGGATCTGATACAAAGTGCTGTGTTATTTTTAAAACCCTATAGAAGCTTGATTGACATATACAGGAAACATTGGCCAAAGTCATTGTTGCTAAATGATTTCTAAATCTAAGGTATATATTTTATTCAACAAAGACAGTGTTGGCTCAATAGATACAATAAATACATGAAAAGATATATTGTTTTTAGTGTTTTTGTAATACTTTATCAATATATAAACAAACTCTGATTACATTTAGGTCACTGTATTTGAGGTTTATGGATAGTTCTAAACAATTCGTAGCCTTCTTACATTGTAGTTTTTCCAACAAAGCCAATCAAAATAGCATGCTTATTGCATTCAGATAAACCACAAATAGGTAATACATTAGCTATTCTCCAGTGCGCTGCTTGGAGAATCCAAGCATGGGTTGACTTCCATCCTATTGCCAGAGACTGAGTTGCTAGAACTTTCTTGGCCACGCCTCCTCTGCTCGGCTGAGCTCCAGTTTTCCAACTCAGTCCAGCCAAGAGACGTGGAAAAGTTTGCTCCAGTAATTCAGCTCTAAGCAAGGATCACACTTGGATTCTTCAAAATAAGAGTCTAGTCAGGGGAGCAGGCAGAGGAAGATTTCAGTTGTTTCAGGGCTTTTACTCACCAAATTCAATCTGCACGTTGCGGGTGAGTGTGCTGGTCGCCCCTGGCAAGACCGCCACTGCCCAGAAGACCTTGGATTGGAGGCAGCAAATCTGGGGCCAACTCTTTCTTCGGAGATCCCCCCGTGAGTGCAGAAGCCGGCTCCTCCACCATTATCGCTGCTGGTGAGTGAGTGAGCTGGTTTACCGGTCCACCGGCACAACTGCCACCACCCTTTTCAATCTCCAGTCTTGGGGGGCGGCTCCAGGGTCACTGTCCGGCTCGTGCAGTCATACTCTGAAGTTTTCAGTTTTGATTTGGCCGCGCAGCCCTGGGAGAGCCGGAATCGCCATTCTCACGTCATTTTGAATCAGCTGTGAGGCACGGTTTGGAGTGAGGCGCAGTGGCGCTACCCCTTTTGCGCTCAGGAACATATCTGGTTGCTTGCTGGCTTTGCTTCTGCAAACAGTGCTAGGAGATCAGGGCATTCTATCTTGCACCAGTTTTTGGGTGCAGCTGGGGAGTGCGGCCGGATTTGCAGTGCTCCATCGGAGCCCCCAGTGGGAATGACGGGAGGCTTTACAGTGTAGACCCAGATCTTGAGGAGCTCCTCCAATTACCAACAATGGATGCTCCGGTGGCAACTCTTACATCATTGGCCATCTTGCCCGCTGACATTGCTGAGAGATTAAAGGCAGAGGATAAGAAAGTGGAATTGGTCCTCCGCAAGACGCATCAGGCGGCTGCCTGGCCAATCAGATCAGCAACAGCAGCTTCCTTCTTTAATCAAGCTTCCTTGATCTGGCTTTGCCAGATGCAAGCTAGGCTTCCTCCTGAAGAAACCAGGCTGCATCAGGATGTTAACAAATTGATGGCAGCTACTAAGTTTTCGGCCGATGCTACGCTCAACGCGGCTAAATTTGCTCTAGAGCTCTGGCTTCTGTTACATTGCGTCGCCTGCTTTGGCTCTGCCACTGGCAGGGAGACATGCACTCCAAATGGAGGTTGGCTTCAGCTCCCTACAAAGGAGCCAATGTATTTGGGGAGGCATTAGATCCTATCCTTATAGTGAATAAGGACAAAAGGAAGATCATGCTCTACATGACCAGGAGAGCGGACCGTAGGCCTTCGCCTTGTTACCAAAGGCAGCCATTTCGATCGGCCGACTCTGGTCCTAGCACCCCACAGTTTCAGTGGTCCTATTCCCAGGGACACGAAAGGTTTCCAGATAGATCTACCTATCGTGACGGGGAGAAGGCAACTTCCGGCCAAGCAGCCCTTTCGAGGGTCCAGCAGTAGGCCATTTTGTCAAGGAAAATGACTACCATTCCAACCTCCCCATTGGTGATTGACTGCAATTTTTTACATGCCAATGGGAAAGGACCGCAACAGACACATGGGTCCTACAGACAGTGCGACTGGGACTCGCAGTGGAATTCCTCTCCAACCCTCCAAACCGCTTCATCCATTGTCCAGTCTCCATGAACATTGCAAAAAGAAACTTGATGGAAGCCGAGATCCAACATTTGTTAGATATCCACGGCATTGAACCGGTTCCCAAAGGTCAGGAGGGACTGGGGTTTTATTCCATCCTCTTCCTCATGAAGAAGGGTTTGGGGGGCTGGAGAGGTATTTTAGATTTCAAAAAGCTCAACGCTTATGTGGTGTACAAACGCTTCAAGATGCAGTCCCTTCAATCCATCTTGGGCTGCAATAGAGAAGGCGACCTGTTAACATCGATAGACCTCAAGGAAGCCTACCTACATGTCCCCATTCGTCCTTCCCATCTAAGGTTCCTGCGGTTCTCATACACAGGACATTACTTTCAATACCGGGCCCTGCCATTTGGTCTGTCGTCGGCCCCCAGGACCTTCACGAAGTTGTTGGCAGCGGTGGCAGGAAACATCAGAGCACTTCCAGTAAGGTTACAGTGCTATCTAATTGACATTTTGAGAGTCAATCTCACTATCTCGAGTTGAACAGCATCTCCAGACCGTAATACGGACTCTTCAAGACCACAGATTTTCTGTAAATACAGAAAAGAGCCATCTGGTTCCCACCACCCACCTTCTACATTTGGGCACAGTGATAGACTCCAAATCATGCGAAATATACCTTTCTCCGGATCGCCAGGAAAGTATAAAGTCCTTAGTGGACCGGATCCGGTGTCTACGGTCAGTATCTTTGGATCTCCTCTCACAGCTCCTGGGGAGGATGATCTCTTGCATAACGATCGTGCCATGGGCACCACTGCATGCCAGGATGCTCCAGTGGTTTCTTCTGCCCCATCAGAGGGCCGGAAACAGCCACTGAAGATCCTCCGCTCCTTCCACTGATGGACATCATGAGCCATAAGGAAGGGATGCGCCTTCAAGGAGCCCCAACGCATCACTCTTAACATCAGACACAACCCTCTTTGGCTGGGGCGCCAATCCCAGGTGGTCCAGGGACGGTGGTCTCTGGCAGACCTCAAGAACAATATAAATTGGCTAGAGCTCCGGGCAGTCCACCTGGTCCTACGTCATTTCCAGGAAGCAGTGGCAGGACACCATGTTCTAATCTTAACAGACAATGTGGCCGCCAAGGCTCACATAAATCAGGAGGGGGGCACACACTCCAAATCTCTCACGACAGAGACGGAGAAGTTAGGGCTCTGGGCGGAGAGACACACGCTGTCCATCAGAGCAGAGCGTATATCTGGGATAACAAATATACAGGCAGATTGGTTGAGCAGGACGACAATAGACCAATCAGAGTGGTGCCTGCATACGGATCTCTTCAACAAACTGTGTGAGAGATTAGGCCACCCGATAGTGGATTTATTTGCTCACTCGATGAACACCCGGTTGCCGTGGTTCTTTTCCAGGTTCGCAACACCAGAGGTGGAAGGGGTCAATGTTCTCTGCAGTCCTTGGCCTCAGGATCTGCTCTACGTTTTCCTCCAATTCCCCTCATCCCAAGGGTCATCAGGAAGGTGTTAGAGGAAAAGGCGGAGATTCTTTTTCTCACCCCACATTGCCCCAGACTCCCCTGGTATGCCGATCTGGTCAGCCTCTCAGTCTCCCGTCCCTGGAGAATTCCCCGGGACAAGATTTCCCTCAACCAGGGGGTCGTGGTCCATCCGGAGCCTCAGTGGCTCCAGTTGACCATCTGGCACTTGAGAGGAACCTCCTGAGGAGAGACAAGCTCTCTGGGAAAGTGATTCAGACCATCCAGGCTTCCAGACGGCCCTCAACAAATAGGATTTACAATGCAACTTGGTCAGCTTTCTGTCAATGGTGTTCTAAGGGACACATTGACCTATTAGTGGCATCGGTCCCAGAGATACTGGACCTTCTGCAAATCGGATTGGACAGGGGTCTGTTTCCCAACACCCTTAGGAGACAGGTGGCAGCTTTGTCCACAGTATTGACCTGTGAGAATCTGCAACCCCTCACTCACCATCCAAGGATCGGCAGCTTTCTCAAAGGGGTTGCTAACCTGAAGCCTCCGGTGGTGCATCGTTATCCCACGTGGGACCTGGCCTTAGTGCTCCAGGCACTTACTTCCACACCATTTGAGTCGTTGAGGACCTCTAGCCTCTGGTACTTGACCCTTAAGGTCGCCTTCTTCGTGGCCATAACTTCAGCCAGGAGGATCTCAGAATTAGCGGCCTTATCAGTACATGAGGATCTTTGTATTTTCCATTCAGACAGGTTGGTTCTGCGTTTAAATCCCTCCTTTCTGCCCAAGATGAACTGGTTCCATAGGGCCCAGGAGATCATTTTGCCCGATTTTTGTCTGGGACCTAATCATCCCTTAGAAGAATGATGGCACACATTGGACATCAGGAGGGCTCTTCACAGATACATCAAAAGAACTGCATTTTTCAATGTTCAAATCAAATATCTTTATTATGTTCTTTGACCATCCTTTACAATTTAAAAAATACACTAAAAGAAAGAATGGTTTAATAGAACAATCAGTTGTTAGGGAAGGGGAAAAACAATGGGATAATAAAACAGCATGTCTTATTTAAAAAAAACTGCAGTTATGTGACTTGGTGAAAAAATGGCCACCTAATGAGTTAGTGTTCCTTAAAAAATAATAATCATAAAATTTATCTGTATGGCCCACACATTTATAAATGATTGGTGTAATCAAAGCAAGTCTTGAGGCATTGTGCAAGGGGCACCGTATGAGAAGTAGCTGGGAGTTTCTGCTTCCCTAGAACTACAAAGGCAAAGTCTCTGTGAATAAGGGTCCTGGGAATTCTTCCCTCCAGTAGGGCTCATGGAAAGGCATCAAAACGTGCATGTTCTAAAAAAGGCACATCTGTGAGCCGCAGTGGCGCAGTGATTAGAATGCAGTACTGCAGGCTACTTCTGCTGATCACTGGCTGCCAGCAGTTTGGCAGTTCGGGTCTCACCGGGCTCAAGGTTGACTTAGCCTTCCATCCTTCCGAGGTGGGTAAAATGAGGACCCAGATTGTTGGGGGCAATATGCTGACTCTGTAAAGCAGTGTGAAGCGGTATATAAGTCTAAGTGCTATTGCTATTTGCTTTACTTTCACAGTGATATCATTTTATTGATGTGTCTCTAATTCACACTTTTACTATTGATTTGGCCTTCTCCAAATCAGGGTTAATTGCTCTACATATTCAGGAGAGAGGCCAAGACAGCAGAGTTCTATGCAGGTACAGTGCCAATGGAATTGGTAATTGTCTGACAGCAAAGGCATCAGGCCTATAGGCTCAAACATGATTCTAAGACCTGAGGTAAGGATCCTGGTCCAGGCTTGAGCCTTAATACTTGGCACATTGGCTTCAAGCCTCGGTACTTCATTGGGATGCATTTTGGGGTGCCAAACAAGATCTTGAGAAAATTTGATTGGACGGCTTCATAAGCCTTCAAGTTTATGTATGGCCCAAATTGTATACCATATAATAGTTGGGCAGCTGTTTTAGCGGTAAACTGTAACTGCTGCTGGGATATAATTTGCCCCTTGTTGTCTATGAACTGTAATTATTGCTTGTATGCTCTTTTGGGCAGTAGAAGAGAGATAATTTGCACCTGGACAGTTAATTTTCTTGAGGCCTATGCCCAAGTGTTTAAAACGGGGGTGTCAAACCCAATTGCATCATGGGCTGTATTGTGACGTATCATAATGTTTTTTGCCTTTGTGGAGCTGGGCTGGCCCAAGGGCTACCAGTTTGACAGGCCTGATTTAAAGCATTAGGCAAATACTATGCCCAAGTGTTTAAAGCATTTCACCTTTATCTGGAGGATCTGCTCAGGGTGTCCCAAAGTCTTAGCTTTGAGATGTTGTCAAAAGCTGCCTTGAATTAGTTCATGCAGAAATGCTGAAAATTCAAACAGGTTCACAAACTCAAATACCACTGGGTTGGGCTGAGAAACAGTAAATGGCTCAAAATCACCAGTGAACTGCTATGGGTAAATCCTGAGTTTCTCTGGTTCCAGTCCAAAACCTGATACAAGTAGTCCTCAATTTACAACCATTCCTTTAACGACCATTCAAAGATACAACAGCACTGAAAAAAGTGACTTTATGACCAGTTTTCACACTTATGATCATTGTAGCATCCCGATGGTCATGTGATCAAAATTTGGATGCTTGGCAGTTGGCATGTACTGTATTTATTACAATTGCACTGTTCTGAGATCATGTGATCACCTTTTGCAAGCTTCTGATAAGCAAAGTCAATGGGGAAGCCAAATTCACTTAAGTGTGTTACCAATTTAATAACTGCTGTGATACACTTAACAATTGTGGCAAGAAAGGTTGTAAAATGGAAAACTCACTTAACAACTGTCTTGCTTAGCAACAAAAATGTTGGGCTCAATTGTGGTTGTAAGTCGAGGACTACCTGTATTGCATGTACCGTATATAAGGAAAACAAATACCTTTTGAATTTAATCTTGAATCTCCAAAATTACTAATATTTGAAACAATAGAATAGTCTTATGTAATTTTGGGGAGGAAGTTTATCTTAGAAAATACAGATAGTCCTCAATTAATGATGGTAATTTGAACTGAAACTGCCATTGCTAAGTGATATGGTCATAAAGTACAATGTCACATGATCACACTGCTTAATGAATGACAGTTCCAGCAGTCTCCATTACACTGTTAATTGAGGATTTCACATGATTACGGCTTCCTGCCAGCTTCCATATTCCCTCTGCTTGTGAGAAATTGTGATTGTGCCAGCAGGGAAGGTTGCAGCTAGCATTCATGGATCTGTGGGATGCTGTGACAGTCAGAAATCCAAACTATCTGCCAAGCTCCTGGATTGAAGTCATGTGATCGCAGGGGCACTGTTCTGGCCAGAACTTTGAACACCAGTCATAACTACTTCCCATTCAGAACTGTTACAGATTCAGACTGTTGTTGAACTGTTAACAAGAACCACTGGTATAAGCAAGCAATTTACTTTCAGTTTTGTCTTTCTGATATAAATGTTATAGTTTGTCTTTAGACTATTTTGGATTGTTTATATTAGTAAACACTGAAACCATCTATAGGTAATATTTGAGTTCCAGCTGTAATGGACCCAGCCCATCATTGTTGTAACTTGTGATGGTCATAAATTGAGTCACCTATGTGGTCAACCTGATATTATCACCTTTTTTTGCAGCCATAAAACAAATGTGGTAGATGCAAAGCAAACCAGTAGTTCACTATGGACACAGTTTTTCTGCCCAAAATGGAAAGTACATGCCAGTTTGGGGCAAAACTGTCCTAAAATGTAGTCACATCTCTGCAGGATGCTACAAATGGCTGTAAATGCAGCCTGGTTGCTGAGCCCTGTAAGTGCGGTCGTGTGATCATGGTGTGCACAGTTGTCAGAACCTTGAACCCGGATTGTAAAGTACCTTCAGAAATTTCTGTCATAACTTTGAATACTCGTGAAGTAGCCAGTCGTAAGTAGAAGACTACTTGTCTGTATCCACCTAAATTTGTTCTGTAGCCTTCATTAAAATGCTTTGACATGGTAGGACGAGTGAATACAGCTCAAAATATGTTGTAAACATCAGAATGATTAGTTTTTGCCATTCTGTGGATTGGTGTGTACCAATTCAAATAAAATACTTATTAAATAATTCTAATGTGGCATACTCATGTTGATATCTTGCAGCATGTATAGAAAAAGGATTGTGCCACTGGAGAGATTTTGAATATGTTTTAGCGCAGTCTCGTGTCTATTTTAAATGCTTCTAGTAAACTTAAACCATTTGGTTTAATAGTTGAATATAGATTGCTCAAATCTTGTCAACTGACTTTCATGTATAGTTGCCAAGTGCTGAATTGAGATTATATGACCCAGGAGACAGTTGTTGGAACTTTGATCATAAGTAGCCCTGGGGAGATTTGTCATAAGTTGAGGACTACCGGTATTCTACATGTTAAAGTCTCTTTCAAGTTAAGGTAGTCTCCTATGATATTTTGGACACATCTGTGGAATTGTCTTGGCAACAGTATGTAAAGGATTCGCTATTGCTTGGTTCTGAGTCTTTTTGTTTCGTTTTGACTTCTGAGTCTACCATACAGTCCTAATATTTTCTGATGGTCTTGCATCCATTTGGTTCTCGTTAACATTTTAGATCAGCAGAGGTTGGCTGGACACATATATTTTACTTTCATATTGAAATGGAGCCTTATCAGGAGAATCAGTAAGGAACCACTAATTAAAAGTAGCCCAATGTTGGCCATGGATTAACATTTCTAAGTGTTCCATGATGATACAGTGTTGTTTTTACAATGCCAAATTATGTTTTCCTAAAATATAAAACAGATACAAGAGAAAAGAAAGATGGTTGGGTCATAAAATTGAACCTTATGGAGTAAATTCATTTATTCTAATTGTTTAGTTCTGGAGAAATATAATATTTCTTTTTTTATTTGGGACTCTCGTTGGATTTATAAGAAACAGAGAATGTTTTTCCTCAAATGACATTTTTATATCTTCAGGATAATATTTAAAATAACATGATATATTGAATTATCTTTCAGATTATGCAATGGTCTCTGCAAGATGGCTTGTTCTTGAGTTGGAGCTTTTTAAAACAGATCTACGCTGGTACTTCAACTTTATTAAGCCGACTATAAGTTTTTCTCTCTCAACAACTACATAAGCAGACAAAATTGCAAAAATCTGCCCTGTTTCGAGTATGACAGCCACGACTCGTGGCTCTCCAGTAGGAGGGAATGACAGTCAGGGACAGGCTCCTGATGGACAGTCCCAGCCTCCTATCCAGCAGAATCAGGTATGTTAAATATGTCTTTGCAATATACATACTTCATCTGAATATAACAGAGTTCTAATTAGTTATTTTACAATTCTTGCTGTTATATGAAATTCAGAATTGATAATCGGAGGCTACTGTTGGTTGCAAATATAGATAATTCTTGCTTAATGTCCATTCAGCAACTGTTCTAAATTACCATAGTGCTAAATGAGTGGGACTTAACAACAGGTCCTAATAGTTGTGGCCATTGTAGCTTTCCTGGGTCATATAGTGATTTGGGCCTTTGGCAATTGGGTTATAGTTACAATGTTGCAGTGTCCCGTGATCACATGATTTTCATTTTCAACCTTCACTGCTCGCTTCTGACAAGCAAAGTCAATGGGAAAGCTGTGAAGAGATCACAGATCGTAATTGTGTATCTGTGGGACACTATGCCTGCAAGGATTGGCCTAATAATGACAGCAACTGGGACTGCTAGAAATGCTATCATAAATTCATGGGGTTATGTGACATCATTATGACCATGTCACTTAACAATGGAGTTCTAGACCTGATAAACTTTGGTAAGGGAGCACTATCTACCCTGTTTTCCCAAAAAATAAGACCCAACCAGAAAATAAGCCCTAGCATGATTTTTCAGGATGTTTGTAATATAAGCCCTACCCCAAAAATAAGCCCCATTTAAGATCATCAGCAGACGGAGGCATTTAGTACTGTATTTCCCCCCAAAATAAGACCTATCCGTAAAAATTAATATAAGACCCAGTCTTATTTTGGGGGAAACACTGTATAATGTAATTTCTTTTTTTAAAATATTCACAATTTAAGCTGCCTAATAAACAAGACTCCAGAAGTTCTGATTGGATTTGCTAATCAAATGTTTTTGTTTTCTATGACTATGTTCAATGCCAAAATGAGAATAGATGTGTATTTTAGCTGTTCAGTATAATCTAATCAGTTTTGCTCTATAAGAAAGGTAACTGTATTAATGTTTTGATGAGCCTACAGTAAAAGTAATGCATTTAGTGGACTGGGAAGATTGTTACCATTCCGGACAATATGTGTGCTTCTATATACCAACAGAGAAATTGAGCTAAGATAAACAGTATAAATCATACAAGAGGCAGTGAGGCAATCAGCAGGGCTTAAGAGAGAAACAGTTGTAGATGGTATAATTTTTTGCTCACCTGGAGGCTTGCTTGGCATGCAAAGTATTTAGATACATGAGATTCTGAACCTAAGCTTTATCAAAGATTTCTTTTGTGTAAATAGCATGAGTGCTATTTTATTTGTTAGATAATACAGAGACCCTAAAATGATCACACTTTTCAGCAATCAATATTAGAAAAGGGTATCATATTAAAATTTCATTGATTTTGGAAAGGAATAATGTTTTAAATAAAAAATTTAGTATTGTGTCAAAAAGAAAAATGATATATCTAGATACCATTATAGTAGTCAGAAGTTATAAAACAAACTTGGGATAAATGAAGTGAAAATAAACAGTGTACTTGTTGCAGTGGAATGAGAGTGGTAAATGTATTCATGTGGTTGTAGGAAGAACAAGCAGGCCTGTCATTGACCACAGTTGGAAATGTTACCACATGGTTAAGTTTTAATGCAATCTTGAATATAAAAACCTAAATAAACAGAAAACGGTAATCTATCTTCCTAACCTTTCCAGAACCTCAATGTTTAGTCATGTTTAAATGTTCATATGAATCTATAAACAAAAACGATGGAATTTGAATAGTTCATAGAAATCCATAGTTTCCATTTCAGACTTCTTCACCTGATTCTTCAAATGAGAATTCCCCAGCTACTCCCCCTGATGAACAGGGTCAAGGTGATGCCCCACCACAACTTGAAGATGAAGAGCCTGCATTTCCACACACTGATTTGGCAAAATTGGATGACATGATCAACAGGTTTTTTTTTTAAAAAAAATTTTATTTTTAAAAAATTCTAACAGTGGTGCAGTTAACTTCTGTTGGCATTTTGGATTTATTTCAGTAGCTTTTAAACAAATACATCCACT